TCCTCCTCCTCCTCCTCCTCCTCCTCCTCCTCCTCCTCCTCCTCCTCCTCCTCGATCTTGAGCTCCAGTTGCCAGACTAGCGCGTGCTGCTCCTCAAGAAGGGGGGAAGAGGAGGCAGGTGGGGGACGTAGGAGATAACTGTGGGGATGTCTTCGTGGGAGCGATTCAGAACTGTTAAGCCCGATTGGGAGGCTAGACCGCGTTCCTCGACGAGTCACGATAAGCCTGGTTACCGGGGACGCCCCACCCTCCCGCACCCCCCCTGGTAATGGCCGTTATCACGAGAGAGCATAAAAACGTGATCCTATGATGCGGGATTAGGCCAGATCAAGTCCGATACTTAGCCGAACTGAGCCCGACCAAGCGGGGTGACGCAGGCTGCCGCTGGAATCGGACGGATTAGACCCAAGGAGAAACGAGCGCGCCGATTCTGAATTTGACCCTGCAGGAGTTGCAAGCTGACGGAGGGAAGAGGACGCATGGCAGGAGGAGGACGATGCAGGCGAGGGGGCGAAGGCCCTCTTCGCGGCTCGCCGTTCGATCAACGGTCGAGGCCGGGAGACAAACTCGACGACAGGGCTTTCGAGCCGTGCGCTGGTCGGCGTCCCACGGTCGGGGCTCGCGCTCCTGCGAGAGCCCAGCTGCCGTGACGCGCAGTATCTGCGTGGGGTCCCTGCTCTGCCCCCCTGCTACCCGCGCCAGCAGGGCTGTCTGGGGATGCCTGGACGCCGAATTCGCCACCGCGCTGGCGCGATAGCGAAGTGTCACAAAACCTAACTACACGAGAACGAGAAGCGCCGTTTTGTCCACCAAGCTTATCAGAGAACATCTGGCTGAGAGCGTCAAAGAAACTCAGAAACGTGGCACAACAGACCAAGACGCATGCTCTCGACTCATCGTGCTGGTCTGCCGTGCTGGTGTGCCACGCTGGTCTGTCGAGTCAGTCTGCCGTCTTGCGTATATAATGGATTTCGTTGGCCGTCAAGGACCCTTTGGAGCCCCCTTGTCCCGTCCATGGCTCTTCGGGGCCCTCTTGGGGGCCTGGTGGACCGCCTTGCGTCGGAAAATTCGCTAGTTGTCTGGTAGGGCCTCCAAGGGCGACCACCACTCTCGTAGCCAGAACCCCTTGGAAATCGTCCCTACTGGTTTTGCTTCTTGGCGTACTTTGAAGCATCCAGACGACTCCAAGACGGCCAAAGACAGCCCCAAACGGCTGAGAGATGCATGACAACCAGCCCAGGACGGCACAGCGCCCCCCAGGTGTTGCCAAGACGCCTCAAGAGGCCTCAGGATGCTCCCACACGTGAATAGTCCTCGAGCAAAACCCTACGCACCACTGAAAAGACCAAGAAGCTACAGTGGCGATTGCTTATGATCTCTGCTGAAGATCGCCTCCGAAACATGCAGGGAGCCTCGAGAAGCTCCCAAATCGTACAGAAACAAAATCATTCGAAGACGAGCCTCGGATAGCCGAAGAGCCTCCAAAGACGACTCCAAGACCCGACCGAACGTCCCCAAGATGGGTCAACCAAGCCTCTTCGAGAGAGCTTGGTAGGGCCCCAAGGAGCTCCAACGAGGCTGCGGGGATTCTTCAAAGAAGCCTCCAAGATGAAGGAATAGGGAGAGAAGGAGGACCCCGCTTCCTTCCTGCTACGATACTGCACTGCTGCGCTGCTGCGCTGGCACGGTGGCGGGGAATGCCGAAGGCAGCTGGATCCGCCGCCCTCTGTCGATTCATCACAGGGATGCCTGGCGTGCCGAATCCTATCGGTTTGGGTTTTGGTTCTTTTTCCAAAAGAACTCCCCCTGGGGCTCCGGCGCGTCCCGCCGACCACCCAGAAGCTGCACAAGTCAATACCTGCTCCGCCCCAAGATGGCCCAAGATGATCCCAAGACGGCCAAGATGGCCCAGGATGGCCTCCAAGATGCCTCCTAGACAGCCAAGATGGCCTCCAAGACGGCTAAGATGGCCCCAAGATGCATCCAAGACGGCCCAAGATGGCCTCAAGATGGTCTAAGATGGCCCGAAAGGCCCGCAAGAGGCCTCCAAGACGGCCCAAGAGGCTTCCAAGAGGTCCTCCAGGAAGGCCCGAAGAGGCCAAAATCATTGATTTTCCTGACGTTTTTGAAGAATTTTGGAATTTACGCCTTTTCGGTTTTTTCCGACAGCCCGAGACGGCCCAAGAAGCCCCCAAGGTCGCCCAAGAGGCCTCCAAGATGGCCCCATGACGGCCCAAGAAGCTCCCACGACCGCCCTAAGAGGGCCCGAAGACGGCCCAAAAGGCCTCCAAGACGCCCAAGATGGCCTCCAAGACGGCCCCGAAGCGCCCCAAGAGAGCCCCAAGTCGGCCCAGAAAGGCCCTCATGACGGCTCCCGACGGCGTCAGACGTGCAAGGAACCCACCAAGATGGCCGCGGTTGGCTCGAAGCTGGCCCAAGACGGCCCAAGAGGCCCCCAAGAGGGCCTCCAGGAAGGCCAGAAAAGGCCAAAAACCTTGATGTTCCTGCGGTTCTTGACGGATTTTGACATTTGCTTCTTTTCGGCCTTCCGACGGCCCGAGACGGCCCGAGAGCCCCCAAAGATCGCCGAAAGATCGCCCAAGAGGCCTCCAAGATGGCCCCAGAACGGCCCAAGAGGGCCCCAAGACGGCCCCAAGAGGCCCCCCAGACGGCACAGGAGGCCTTTAAGACGCCCAAGATGGCCTCCAAGACGGCCCTGGAGCATTCCAAGAGGGCCCCAAGACGGCCCATACAGGCCCCCCAAACGGCTTCCGACGGCGTCAGACGGACCAGGAGCCCCCCAAGACGGCCGAACATGGCCCTAAGATGGCCCAAGACGGCCCAAGAGGCCTCCAAGAGGGCCTCCGGGAAGGCCCGAAAAGGCCACAATCATTGATTTCCCAGTGGTTCTTGAAGGATTGTGGCATTTGCTTTGTTTCGGCCGTCCGACGGCCCGAGACGGCCCAAGTGCCCCCAAAGATCGCCCAAGAGGCCCAAGACACGGCCTCAAGAGGCCCCCAAGACGGCCCAAGAGGTCTCCAAGACGCTCAAGATGGCCTCCAAGAAGGCCCGAAAGGGTCAAAATGGCATCCAGACGGCCAAGATGACCTTCAAGATGCCCAAGTGTTCCCCGAGGGCTTTCCAAACCGATTCGGGGAACACATGGTCCGATAGCTTGGCAGGTCTGGCCTCAACGTTCGGCCACATAGGCGCTTCCAAAAAGGCAGGGGGCGGCGGTGATTCGCCGTAGGCGTCTTCGATAATCCGCCGCCCCCTGTTGATTCATCACAGGGGTGCCTGGCGTGCTAGACGATTTCGGCTTTGGCTTTGTTTCTCTTCCGAAAAAAAATCCCCCTGGGACTCCGGCGCGTCCCGCTGGGGTCCCGGGAAGGACCTCAATCCGGAAAATGACCCTGGCGACATACCCAAACCATGCGCAATGCGGGGCATGAGCAGCTTGGGAGATTTGACGAGAAGGCGGCGACGTGAAATGGACGCATATACTTCTGCGAGCGGCATTTGGAAGATTCGCAGGCCGCTCAGGTCCGCGCGGTGCCTCACTCCGCCAGACCCACTAGCAGCCCTCGAAAGTGGCGACAGTTGCGCAGATCGCAGCCCCCCAAGGACGGGGAGGTCCCGCTCAGGTCCGCGCGGTGCCTCACTCCACTGGACCCATCAGCAGCGTTCGAAAGTGGCGACAATTCCGCAGATCGCAGCCCCACAGGGACGGAGAGGTCCCGCTCAGGTCCGCGCGGTGCCTCACTCCGCTGGACCCACCAGCAGCCCTCGAAAGTGGCGACAATTTCGCAGATCGCAGCCCCACAGGGACGGGGAGGTCCCGCTCAGGTCCGCGTGGTGCCTCACTCCGCTGGACCCACCAGCAGCCCTCGAAAGTGGCGATAGTTTCGCAGATCGCAGCTCCCCCTCCAGGGACGGCGAGGTCTCGCGGGAGACAGGAGGCGGGAGGCAGGAGGCGGGAGGCGGAATGAGAAGGACGCGACCGCAGTGCTCTATTCAAAACGAATACCCAACCAAGGAGGGTTGGGAAAAATCCTCCATGACGGCTCGAGATGGCGCCAAGATAGCCACGTTGGCCCAAGATGGCTTCCAAGATGGTTCAAGATGGCCTCCAAGTCCGCCCAAGATGGTCCAAGACGGCCTCCAAGACGGCCCAAGAGAGTCCAAGACGGCCCAAGACGGCCCAAGAGGCCCCCCAGAGGCCTCCAAGACGGCCCAAGAGGCCTCCAAGAGGTCCTCCAGGAGGGCCCGAAGAGGCCAAAATCATTGATTTTCCCAACGTTTTTGAAGGATTTTGGCATTCGCTTGTTCTCGTTTTTGCGACGACCCAAGACGGCCCAAGAGGCCCCCAAGATCGCCCCCACAGCGCCCAAGAGGCCTCCAAGATGGCCTCAGGAGTGCCCAAGAGGCCCCCAAGACGGCCCCAAGAGGGCACAAAGACTACCTAAGAGGCCTCAAAGACGCCCAAGATGGCCTCCAAGACGGCCCTCTTGCATTCCAAGAGGGCCCCAAGTCGGCTCAGAGAGGCCCCCCAAACGGCTTCCGACGGCGTCGGACGGGCCAGGGGCCCACCAAGACGGCCGAACATGGCCCTAAGATGGCCCAAGACGGCCCAAGAGGCCTCCAAGAGGGCATCCAGGAAGGCCCGAAAAGGCCACAATCATTGATTTCCGATGAGTGTTTGAAGGATTGTGGCATTTGCTTTTTGTCGGCCTTCCGACGGCCCGAGACGGCCCAAGTGCCCCCCAAGATCACCCAAGAGGCCCAAGACGGCCCCAAGAGGCCCCCAAGACGGCCCAAGAGGTCTCCAAGACGCTCAAGATGGCCTCCAAGACGGCTCAAGAGCCCTCCAAGACGTCCTCCAAGGAGGCCCGAAAGGGTCAAAATGGCCTCCAGGCGGCCAAGATGACCTTCAAGATGCCCAAGTGTTCCCCGAAGGCTTTCCAAACCGATTCGGGGAACACATGGTCCGATAGCTTGGCAGGTCTGGCCTCAACGATCGGCCACATAGGCGCTTCCAAAAAGGCAGGGGGCGGCGGTGATTCGCCGTAGGCGTCTTAGATTAATGCATCAGCTGTCGAAACAAAATGCTCCCCCACTGGTTCCATGCATCAGCCACTTGTTTCCCCTCTCGCCATGGCCGCGCGGCATGCGCGTCGCCTCGTCAGCAGCGGCCGCGCCTAGCGAGGACCTCGGCTCCGATGCGGGAGCCGAAGCTCCAGCGACACCTCCTGGCGCACGCCGCATGGTTACATGGAGGATGAGATGAAGGAATCGGGCAAAAATGGTATGGACACCATAAAAGAGCAGAAGCGGAACGGGAAACAAGGACTCTGGAGGAGAGGGTAGGGTGAAGGAAATGACCAAACTGGTGGAGGGAATGGGGGAGGAGAGATGCGAGCACCAGAACAAGGGCGAGATACAAAAGGGGGAGCAACAAGATCATCGCGGCCAGGCAGAGCCTGGAGCAGGGAGTGCAGCAAACTTGCTCACTCCCCCAGTCAGCGCAATCACGATTCACTCTCGGGAGCCGGCCGCCCAGGACGCGGAACGCTTCCGGTGTTCCGCGGCGCGCAGGGCAAGGGGAGAGGGCAGAGGGGATCTGGGCCCAAGCCAGGATCCCTCCCTCCCATGACTTTCCATTGTGCTCAACCTTTCCGATTCGCCAATCCAGCTGTCGAAGTAGTCCTTGATCCTTGATCCTTGAATCCCACCAGCCCTCTGGGCGTAGATGGTTTAACGAGCTTTGTCTTCTCAAACCCCTCCTTCCCCTGCTCGGGGGAGGGGTGTACCCCTCCCTCTACCTCCTCCCCTGGGCCCCTCCCCTGGGCCTGGGAGGGAGGGGGGGCGCGAGGCGCTAGAGCCCTCCGAGCCCTCCAAGGACCCCACAAAGAGGCCAAGATGGCTTCAAAACCGAAGAAAAATCAATGTTTGGGCCGTCTCACCTATTCGCTTCGGATGAGCTCTTGAGGCAGTACGATGGCCCCAAGACAGCCCAAGAGAACCCCATGAGGGGCCCAAGAGGGCCCTAACAGCGCCCCAAGAGCGGGTGGGCTGAATTTCCTCCCTCCATCTATTTGAATCATGGAGGCCAAGATGGCCCCAAGAGGCCTCCCAGACACCCCCAACGAGCCCCAAGAGGGACCCAAGAAGGCCCCAAGCAGGCCCCAACAGGGCCTCCTACAGAAGACTTCGCGAGGACCCCAAGAAAGCCACAAGATGGCTGCAATAGACCTCCGAGGAAACGCTTCCAAGGCGGTTGTTACACTGCATGCTTCTGCACGTCCCTGATCAAGGCAACTCGCCCAGTGATCTGCTTCTGGATGGGCTGGTGGGGATTCGCGACGCGTCAGGAATTGCATTTGCAGCGCGAGGGTGACAGGGGCGAAGAGAAGGATGGAGGACGGGGATGAGAAGGACCAGGGGGAGGCAGAGGAAGGCAAGGAGGACGACGAGGACGACGACGTTGCCGACGACGACGTTGCCGACGACGACGACGACGACGACGACCACGACGACGACGTCGACGATGACGACGACGACGACGACGACGACGACGACGACGACGACCACGACCACGACCACGACCACGACGACCACGACGACGACGGCCGCGGCAGGCCTCCGTACAGGCGAGCTCCCGCCAGTGCGGCGAGGCGCGGCCCGCGGGACGGGCGGCGGCAAACCAGGACAGCGTCTGGGGACAGGGCTGTTTGACTTGAAGCTGGCATTGCCTGAGCGTGCCTCCTCATTGTCGGCAGCAGAGGGCAGGGGAGGAGCCACCAGGCGCGGCCCTCACCGAGGGGCGCCGCGGCCTGGCTATCGCGCCTGGATCGCTCGGCGGCAGGAGGCAGGGCGAAGCCACCATTCCCGCGGGTGATCCACCGGCTGGGCGCTCTGCTTTGGGCGCCCGGAGGGAGCGGCGATGTGAGGCACCGAGGGCAAAAGCTGTCGGGTGAGCCTTCAGGGCCCGAGAGGGCAGGTCGATAAAGGGTTGCAGCATCCGAGGGTGCTGGGAAAAAAACAACCAGCAAAGCGCGGTTGGCAAGACTTTCTCGATCGTCGGTCTGTCCTCCACGACAGGGATAGCACGTGCCAATTATGCTGGCGAACCGCTGTAGCGCCGCAGGGGGAGACCGCCAGCGCGGTGCAGGCCACCCGTGGCAACTGCGGGCTCCACGTGGGGAGAAAAGGCTACTTGCTCACTTGGCTAAGTGGCTGCCAAGGCGCGCACGACAAAGAGGACGGACTGCGGGCAACAGACCAGCACAAAGCCATCCGCGGGGAACCACAGCAAGGGAAAGCGATGTGCCCACCCGGGCTTCAGGAAAAGAATAGTTGCTGCTCTTCTAGCCAGGTCTCGCTCCGTCGGTCACTAAAACCGTCCCATCCCCGCCTGAAGGTAGCAGCGAGGGGCCACTCGAAGGCCCCAACAATCAGCCGACGCGTGCGAGGGCGAACTGCGGCCGACATTCAAGCCGCCACTATTTGTATCACCCTCCTGCACCCGCCCCAGCTATCCCGCTATGTTCTCTACAACAACAGCACTTCGACTGCTGACTGCCCGAAGTGATCTAAGCAAGCGGCACTGAATCGACTGAGTGATCACCCAGATCATTGGCCCTGGCCGACTGACGTCACCTCATCCGCGTGCGTCACGGAATCGGTCCGCCAAGTTTACGGGAAATGCCAGCTGAGAAGCGCAAGAGGAGCAGAGGGAGGAGGAGGAGGAGGAGGAGGAGGAGGAGGAGGAGGAGGAGGAGGAGGAAATAGAATGAACAGCAAGCGGCCCCGCTATGATGGTCATTTGGTTCGCGCCCTAGTCCGAGCTTTTGAACTCTTGTTCATAAGGAAGCCCATCCTCCGATTCTCAGGCCCCGGGCCCACTCTGCCACAACAACGCCCGACCTCCACTGGCCCTAGTGCAAGCCTTCGCTCCCAGATCTTTTCTGGGGGTTCCCAACCTCAGGTTTTCTGGCCTTGGCCCAACGCTACCAGCACTACGCCAGACTTCCCTTGGCTTCAATGCAAACCATCCGACTCTGGATTTTCTTGGCACCCCCACTTGGCAATTTTATCCGCCACTGCACCGCAGGCACCGCGTGACTTTTCCAGAGCCCTCGGGAGCGTGGCTCGGGACATGTATCCCAATCGCCCCCTGGGACGGTCCCTGGGGCTCGTCCTGAAGCCGTCTTGGGGGCGTCTAGGACCATCTTGGGAGTCTTCGGGGCCAGCCCAAAAGCCAACCTCGTCAAAATTCCGAAAGATGTTATACAAATGTCGCCCGTAGGTCCTTTTCTGCCCTGAACATCTAAGACGGCACCAGGTGAGCTCCCAGGATCGCCCACAGACGGCCCAAGTGTCAATGATATGGAGATTGACCAGTCTGTTTCTCCCCCCCGCGCGTGAGCTCCGCGAATCGAGCAATATGAATGAGCTCGTCTCGACCTCGCACACTCGGCTGATGATATCAAGGAATCGCCGAGGCGAACATATGATAAAGTGTTATCGCTGATAGCTGAAAAGTGGACCCCCTGGAATCATTAAGGGACATGGCCACAACATATATCATGATGTCTCTCCTCTCCAGCTGCTTCTCCGCTACGTTTCTAGCTGCACAGACACGGGCGAAACACACCCATCTTGACACAGAATATAAAATTTCCAGCTTAAACACTGGAGATCAGCACGTTACAAGCAACAAAAAAACGGCCGTTTCCTTCACAGTCCAGTCAGACTGGGCCCAACGCAACTGCTCACGATGAAATTCGAAAACGCAGCGATTTAGAAACGAAACTCACTAGGTTTCGCCTCGAAGTGAGATACGATCCCCGTGACCAAATCTGCCTCCTGAGACTGGTAAACGCATCTCGCGAAGCACAGACTGCAGATCACATGCTCGCATAATTTCGAGTCTCCGACACGCGTCCGATCGGTCACCCTCTATCATCGGACGGTGTCTGTCGACCGCCAGCACTGCAACGTGTGGTGTAAGCGGAGATTGAACAATCGCAGCCGGCATAGCACTGTCAGCTTTAGCCTTTAACATTGATGTTGGATCAACTGTCCTCTGCAAATACTGCCACACACAAGCGCCCAAAACAATCATTAAAAGAACTCCGATCAGAAAACCGGCCTAAACGTCCCGGCCAGTGACAGCACAAGCCTCGATCAATCGTCATTGGGTTGAGCCGAGGACGCTGAAATCTGGCAAACTGCCTGTTCCGATGCTCTTGTCGTCGCAGTCGATGCTACAAGAGCTGGCACGGAAGACCCAGAGGAAAAACTGCCTGCTACAACTCCTGCAAAAAAACACGGCACGCGATGAGCGCATCGCAGAGGTGCAAACTGCATTGCCCACTTCAGAATGGTCTGCAACCTCGTGTACATCAATCATCGCAATCTCGTCGTCAGCGCCGCAGTCCTTCGGTTCGGCGTAGCACGCGTTCATCTCGTCGGCGTCCTGTTGTAGGTAAACTCGCTGCGCCCGCTGAGTTTCCTCCCAGGGAGCTGTCAACTTCCGCTTCCTGAGTGAAGGTGCTCGGGGATCCGGTCCGAACGTCCAGAGGTTCTCGTCGTGGACTCGGTCTCGGTAGGGTGCATCCATCCCCTTGGTAAGTCCGTCGGCGAGTTGCAGTTCAGATCGGACCCATTTGATGCCTCCACGCTGGCATTCCTGCCCGATGATGGCTGCCTCCAGAGAAAGTCTACGATCTGATAAGTGAACACGCTCCTTCACAACAAAATCCCACAACGAAAGGCAAACTGCAACCAAAACTCCTTTCCACTCCTCAGCTGCTTGACGGCGCTCATGTCCAAGCCTACTGGATGAAAAGATATCTGCACACACTGCACGCGTCCGGATGCAAACGTCTTGAGCTTCAGAACAGCTGTACGCCTCTGCTGCAAGAATACCCCGCACTGCACGTCCAATGCGTCCACTCGACCATGCCAAGAACATACATGGATATAGCTTCGCGCGGTCATCCATCACGTTGCCATCTTCCACCATCATATATATATATATATATAGTAAAACGCGAATAATTATATATATATATATTTTTTTTTTAAAAGGAAAAAAAAAAAAAAAAAAAAAAAAAAAAAAAAAAAAAAAAAAAAAAAAAAAAAAAAAAAAAAAAAAAAAAAAAAAAAAAAAAAAAAAAAAACGCCGGCTCTAATGGTTTGGCATGTTCTCGAAAGATGCGTCGTGTAAAACTACGATGAATAACTTCTCAAAATCAGATCCTCCACGGACAACCATGCCAGTCCTCCCCTCACGGCGGAGAGACCTCACCAAACTATTCATGTCCTTCATGCCCTGCACCGTCGGCTTCGACATCTGGTCAGCAGGCCGCGACGCCTCGAAACTGCATTTACGAAGCAGCAGTTAGACCCACTGAACTTGTCCATTCATGCCACGAAGCGCTCGGTGCTCAGCAGCGGTGAGTAGCTCCTTCTCCTGCTTGGCCCTTTCGCGGGGCTTCCGGTAGTCCGTCATCGCATCGATGTAGTTGCCCATGTCAATGTTTATAGCATAGTCCTTGTCCTGCTGGAAGCGTCGCCCAGTAAACGTAGCTCCTTCCGGCGCGTTCTATAGATCATGCCAGTCTCCAAACTCCACCTGGCCCCTCAACTGTGGGATCACGTGATCACACAACTCCTCGTTGTTCTCAACGTCGAATTCCATGAGCATGTCATCGACGCGTAGGCGTAATGGCCCAGACAACTTCCCTTGATTCATCAAATTGAAGGCGGCCGTCTCGAACTGCAGCTGCTCGAAGCCGATGTCCTGCAGAATCTGGACAATCCCCTTGTACAAAGCCCTTGCCGCGTCGACGGTGCCACAGATGCTCGTCGAGCTTGAGCAGGCTTCCCTCTTCGATTCCAGGCATGCCCCTACCCTGCAAGTTCCGGGGCATCTTGAAATACAGCCCCCTCTCAATCTTGAACCCCTGCACAAAAACTCCAGCAGCGATGCCAGGGCAACATGAAAACCGCATGCAAGCGGCGAAGCTGCTCCGAAGATTCTGCATACAGGGTAAGCATGTCGGCGAATCTCCCCGTAGCTTCTCATCGCATGTATCCTGGAAGCCTTTGCCCACAATGCGGCATTTGGTCTGGAAGTTAGCGTCGTGATCACGGCCCTTGTTCGGCCATGCAGATCGGCTCCCGATCTGCAGCGACGCATCGATATTCTTGTCCATTGTCAGTGAAATCACTGTCACAGCGTCGTACTTGGTCCAAGTACTCCACTCTTGGATGAGTGCGTTGAGACACTTCTCTGCGCCTTCTCTGGTATATCCGTCACCACGATTGGGCACCTCCCATCTGTCCAGCTCTCCCTTCGATACTCGGTCAGCTCGTTCAGCCGCGAAAGCTTCGAACATGACCGCGTTGGCGGCATAGGCGGTGCGCAAAATCATGCTGTTCTCGGTGACCGCGATGTTGCGACCACTGCGTGGGTTCGCCCTCCGCACACAGTCTGGGACGCTGGCGTCTTCCTCGTAAGTCTCGACCGTCCAGCACGCACTGCCTCACCGTGTTCACGATTCGCTTGTTGGCGAGTTCGTCGTCGTTTTCGCGCGCCCTGTTCTTCTGGCACTGCGCGAGGCTAAAAACCATCGCCACTCGATCCAGACGCCGCGCTGGGTCTTGCCGCAGATGTTGAAGGCGGCGCCGGATTGTGCGGTCCAA